GGAGGAGGTGGGGAGACTGGGCGAGAGAGAAGCTGGAGACGAGGGAGACCGAGAGGAGGAGAGAGAAGCAGGATGGAGACATGGGGTTAGGTGGCTCAGGGGAGCTGGGAGAAAAGAGAGAGAAGAGGGGGTGTGGATTAGAAGCCAGGAGGTAACCCCGGGGAGAAGCAGGAGGCAGAGAGAGGAGTAGGAAGATCCAGAGGTAGAGGGAGATTGGAAGGTTGGGGAAACCAGGAGCAAAAGGAGGAAAGGCACAGAGAGCAGATCTGGGGGGGTCTCCGTCCCCGCTGCCTCAGTGTTTGGGGAACGGGACTCCCTGTAGGGAGGAGAGGCAGGCTGGAAGTCCTGGAAGGAGAGGGTCCCACAGAGGGGGTTAGGAGGAGCTGAGACGGGGGGGGCCGGGACATTGGGAAGGAGTCGCTCAGAGACCTCCCCAGGATGGGGGCTGCCGCTCGTCTGAGCGCCCCTCGAGCGCTGGTACTCTGGGCCGCACTGGGGGCGGCAGGTAAGGCCTGGGGTGGGGGGGTGGTTGGGGCAGGAACTCCTGAGGGAGCGGTGGGGGTGGGGTGCCAAGGAGAGGGGTTCAGGCTGCTCTCTCCCCAGCTCACATTGGACCTGCACCTGACCCTGAGGACTGGTGGAGCTACAAGGATAATCTCCAGGGAAACTTCGTGCCAGGTGCAGCCAGGGTGGGGACCCAGGAGTCGGGGCTGTCGGGTGCCTCCTTCCTCAGACCCAAGAGTCCCAGGCCCTTCCTTTTGTCCTCCCTCCCTCCAGAGTGGGGCCCAGCCTGTGAACCCCAGCGGCTCACCATGGGACATTATTTATGCGCATTTCAAGTAGTGAGTGGGAGTGAGTGGAAGGAAGGAGTGTGGGGGAGCAAGAGAGTGTGAGTGCCGGTTTGCAGGGAAATAGGCAGCTAGGACTGGCTGCTGCTGGCAACCAGAGGTTCCGTGGCCGGGTCCCCAGCCTTGGCCAGCCCTCTCGTGCAACTCCTCTTCCCAATACATTCATTATCCAGCTGTGGGACAAGGGAGACTGAAAGAACTACAACTCCCATGGGCTCTGACGCAGGCAGGCAGTGGATGGGTAGGCTGGCTGTCCTCAGGCCTGCTGGGAGTTGTAGTTCCTTTTCCCAATGACTTAATTGAAGACAGATTTGAGCAAGGAGGGTGCTAGATGGTCTTTGGAAACTCCTCCAAGATCTTCTACGGCCCAAGATTCTGGATCCCAGCCTCCTCCTCCCTCAGACCCAGGAGTCCCCGTCCCCTGCTCTTCCTCTCCTGAGATCCGGGACCCCAAAACACAGCCTTTTCAGGGGTTCCCAGTTTGGGGATCCAGTCCCTGTTTCTGACTCCCTTTCCTCCCTTCCCTACTCCTGCCTCCAGGGCCTCCCTTCTGGGGCCTAGTGAATGCAGCCTGGAGTCTGTGTGCTGTGGGGAAGCGACAGAGCCCCGTGGATGTGGAGCTGAAGAGGGTCCTTTACGACCCCTTTCTGCCTCCACTGAGACTGAGCACTGGGGGAGAGAAGGTAAGGCGCCTGGTGGGAGGGGTCACCGAATCCCCTAGGGGTGGGCATGAGTGGGGGTGGGGTGTTGAGGTGGCAGGCCCGCCTAAGGCAAGGAGGGGTGCACACTGGGTGGAAAGGAGGCTGCTTAGACTCTAAAAGGGATCACCTGTTCTTCCCTCCCCCAAACATGGCTCCCTCGGTTTTCCCATGTTGGTAAAAGCAATGGTAACACAGACTGTTCCCCGTGCCAGGTGCAGTTTTAAAAGCTTGATAATCTTGATAATCTTGCTAATTCTCCCAACCACCCCATGAGGTGAATGCGATTATTCACTTTATTGTAAGGATGCAGAAACTGTGGCACAGAGAGATTGAGGTACTTGTCTGAGGTCACACAGCTAGAGTGCCAGCAGTGGGATTCAAACCCAGGCGGTGTGGTCCTAGCATCCATGCTCTTGCCCACTTTGCAATACCATTTCCTTTAAGAGCTGGGACCACTCTTCATTCAGCTGCCCCCACCAAAAGCCAGGGAGCTATTCCTAACCTGTTCTTGCCCTCATTCCCATGGCTAGTCTGGGCCCTTTTTAGTCTCCCTGCTAAATATCATTTAGATCTTTTCAGTTTGTGTCTTCTCTGCTGCCCCCACCATCACCTTGCATCTGGACTGGTGCCATAGCTTGCTAGCTGGCCTGGTTCTCTGCCTACTGCAATCCATTCTCTACCCCACAGCCAGAGAGATGTTTAAAAGCACAAATCAGATCACACCACTCTCCTGCTCAAAAACCTATTAGGATAAGTAACACTAGCAAACAGTTATACAGCAAGTACCACGTGCCCGGCACTGTGCCAGGTGTGAGATATATAGATATATACAATTATTTAAATAAAAATACAAAACATCCCATCATTGCCCACAAGGCCGTGGACCATCTGGCTCCTATCACCTCTCCTTTGCTCACCAGTACTGGTTCCACTGGCCCCTTCACTACTACTGAAACAGGCTACCTCAGGGCCCTTGCACTTGCTGTTTCCTCTTCCTGGAATGCCCTTCTCCCTGCTCTTTGCAACGAATTCCTACTTATCCTTTAGGTCTCCACTCAAACATCACTTTCTCACCAAGGCCTCTCCTCACCCTACCAACCCACACCCCAATCAAGGCTGGGTTTCCCATCATGCCTTCTCAGAGCTCTCAGCTCTTCCCTGCATAAGCATAAGATGTAATTAATTAAGCAGTTTCTTATATGATTCATTATTTATTGTCTGCCCTCTGCTCCATTAGGACACAAGTATCATGAGGCCTGGGGTTTTTGTCTACTTGTTCATTGCTCTCTTCCTGGCATCCATGGCACACAGTAGCAGCTCAATAAATATTTGTTAGTCAAATAAATTCACTGATATTGAGCACCTATATGGGCTAGAACAGAGCCTGGAAAGTCATTGGTGTTCAAATTATGCTGAATTATTAAATAATTGTTGGAAGCAGGAAATGTACCAGTGAGACACAGGAGGGAAAAGATCTCTCTTTGTCCCTGTGACGGCTTCCACCTCTCCTGCAGCTCCGGGGAACACTGTACAACACCGGCCGCCATGTCTCCTTCCTGCCTGCGCCCCGGCCCGTGGTGAATGTGTCTGGGGGTCCCCTCCTCTATAGCCACCGACTCAGTGAACTGCGACTGCTATTTGGAGCACGTGACGGAGCTGGCTCTGAACACCAGATAAACCACCAGGGCTTCTCTGCTGAGGTGGTAGCCACTGGCCTCTGACCCTTGACCTCATCCTGAGTTGATCCAATTCCTCCCACCTCACCTTTCTCTTCATGTCTCACCCCCTCCTCCTTCACAGAACTGCCCCCCAAGCACTAATCTTTAATCTGACTTGGGACCCCAAGGTCCCAGAGCTGCACCCCTTCTCTCCTCCCTTTCTGCTGGGGGACCCCACTCTGTGCTCCCCTTCCAGGTGCAGCTCATCCACTTCAACCAAGAACTCTATGGGAACCTCAGCGCTGCCTCCCGGGGCCCCAATGGCCTGGCCATTCTCAGCCTCTTTGTCAATGTGAGCCCAGGCAAGATTGGGAGGGAGGAAGTGGCTGGGTGCCTGGAATTGGGTCTGGGGGAGGAAGGGATTGGGGTCCTGGACTTCTGGATTCCTACCTCCTCACCTTGTACCGCCACACAGGTGGCTGGCAACTCAAACCCCTTCCTCAGCCGCCTCCTTAACCGTGACACCATCACCCGCATCTCCTACAAGAGTAAGTCCCTGGTGCATTGGGGCTGTGGGGGGTGGGGTGGGGTGGGGTGGTGGGGGTGGGAAGGTAGGAGGAGCAGTGTGTGCAGAGGAGAGGAGGTCAGGAGGGGTCTTGCTATTCACTCTAGCCCATTATTCCCGCAGATGATGCCTACTTTCTTCAAGACCTGAGCCTGGAGCTCCTGTTCCCCGAATCCTTTGGCTTCATCACTTATCAGGGGTCACTCAGCACCCCGCCCTGCTCAGAGACTGTCACCTGGATCCTCATTGACCGGGCCCTCAATATCACCTCCCTCCAGGTGACCCGCTGTCTGCCCCCTCCAGCCCGGCTAACCCATTCCCTGGCCTGGGCATTCCCCCCTAGGCCCTACCTACCCTCCTTCCTCCTTCCAGATCTGACTGCTAGGAGGCTCACACAACCTTTGGGGGTGGGCTGGGGCCAAGTAAGACCCCGCCCACCCGCTCCAGGGGCGGGGCCGCCTCTCTGACGATTCGCTAGGACCCTTCGTGATTCACAGTTTCCCACTCCCTTCCACGGCAGATGCACTCCCTGAGACTCCTGAGCCAGAATCCTCCGTCCCAGATCTTCCAGAGCCTCAGCGGTAACGGCCGGCCCCTGCAGCCCTTGGCCCACAGGGCACTGAGGGGCAACAGGGACCCCCGGCACCCCGAGAGGCGCTGCCGAGGCCCCAACTACCGCCTGCATGGTATGCTCCAGTCTCCATCACCACCACCACCACCACCCCCGCACGTCTTGGTCTAACCCGCCTCTGTGTCTCCCCCTCTTTTCTCAATATGATATAGTCCTGCCCACCCCTTTGCCGTTTCTGTAAGGTCCAGCCTCCTGATCTCGCACTCGCTCTCCCTTCTACGTTTGTGTCAACATGGTACAGTCCACCTCCCCGCCACAGACCGTAGCTGGTCCGTGATTTGTCCCTCTTCACCGCTTGCAACTTGCAACTTGGTATATAACCCGAGATCCCTGGCTCCTCCCGCCCCACGGGCCGTGCTTTCCATTACTAGGGTTTTCCAAAGTGGTACAGCCCGGATCCGTTCCCGGTTTCCATGTGGTACGATCTCAAGCTGTTCCATAACCCGACACACACCCCCTTCCTGAAAATCAACGTGGTACAACCCCCTTCCCTCTCCACGGCCTAGCCCGTGCGGTTCGACCCTGCGATCTCTGGGCCACCACCCTAGCTTCTCTGCGGGGTTTGGCCCTGACCCCTACCCCCACCCCCATGAATACCTTCATGCAGTTCCGTGTGATGCTGAAGCTGGACGTCCTCATTCAACCCTCCTGCTGCCTCCTGCTGGTTAAACCCAGCGCGGGTCCAGAACCTGACCGTTTCCCCCAACTTCTCGACTTGGTACCTTCCGGGTTCCCCCTCCGCAGCCTCCCCGTGGTAGAGCCTACCGCGGCCCAGCCCCCGCCTCCCTGCAAACCCCTTGCAGGGAGCCCTAACTAACGCTCCGCTACCGGTGTCGTCTGTCTTACAGTGGATGGTGCCCCCCATGGTCGCTGAGACTCCCCGTCGAGGATTGCGCCCGTCCTCTCCAAGTCTCCCCACACGGGGAGGGGAGTTACCCCCAAAACAAGGCTATTAAAGGGACAGAATACTTCCTGTTTCTTAGTGGTCTGATTCTAGGCGCGGCGGGGAAACATGGGTGCTGAAGAACAGCAGCCTGCTTCTAGAAACCAGTCTCCCTCTTCCTAAACCGCCCCGCTCGGGGTTTCGGCTTCCTGTTTCCCAAAACCGACATTTCGGTTGGCGGCTCCTTTAAGCGGCGCCTCTTTTCACTCCCCCAACTCCCCTCCCCGCCCCGCAGCACGCGCGGAGCCATGTGCTTCCCCCTCCCGCCTGCCTCATTGGCCCGAACTGGGTCAGGGTCCCGCCCCCAGTGCAGTCTCCCATTGGGCAAATGTAGGTCAGGGTCCCGCCTCTCACCTAAAGGCACGGCCACTTCACGCCCTGAGCCCCTCACGCGCCCTCCCGAGCCCTGGAGGATCCGGGGGTCCCATTGGCCGTGCGTCTCGAAGGGTCAGGACGCGATTGGCCCGCGCTTTCAGCCGGAGGGAGGCACGCGGCTGGGGTGCTTAGCCCTGGAGGCTGGCGGGGGCCGAGGGGAGGGGTGCGCGCTGTGGCGTCGGGTGTTTTGGTTTGGCTTTTTTTTTTTTTTTCCGCGAAAGAAGTTTGCGTTGGCCACGCCTCAAGGCGGCCGCCTCCTCTTGCCCCCTCCCCCGCCCTCCGCGCACACCTCTTGGTGCAGATTGCAAAGCGCCTTCCGCTGAGAGAGCTGCAGATTTTGCAAGAGCCAGGCTCGCCCACCTTGTAGAAGGAGCGCCTGGTGTCCCCTTGAACTCTGAGTAGCAAAGAGCCGGCTGCCTGGTTTTGATCAAGCCTCTCACTCGGACTGCATGATCTCCTGGGACCCTCTTGAGTTGCACGTTTCTGCACCGAGGACTGCAAATCCTCGTCACCCCTAGGATTTGCAGTGTTCTGGATACTGGAGGCTTGCAACCTCCGCTCGCCCGCCCCTGGGTAGGCACTCGCCCGAACCACAGGAGTGTGCCGCTGACTGGCAAGCCAGCTCTTCGCCTCTCCATGAGCCCGTGAGCCTGCGGGCAGGTGCCCGGTGATGGCGCGGCCGGTGAGCGACAGGGCCCCGGCTTCCCTGCTGCTGGGCGGCCCAGCCGGGGCCCCCCCTGGCGGGGGAGCGTTGCTTGGGCTGCGGAGCCTTCTGCAGGGGACCAGCAAACCCAAAGAGCCAGCCAGCTGTGAGTTCTAGCCCCCATCGATCCCAACCCGGACACCCTACTCGCTTAGGGATTCAAGTGTTGGGAGGGGGTGGGGGACGGGTGGCTCCCTGCTACGAGCGGAGAGTCCATCCTTTACCCGTCATCTACCCGATTACAAAGGTGTTCAGGCCCCTAAGTCCCTCAGCACCCAGGATCCAAAAGTACAGGCGCTCAAGCCCGTCCACCAGGAAGACCCAAGGAGTCCCCCCAAAGTCCTCTTTTCCGAGGACACAAGAGTCTGGGCTCCAGCCCCCGCTTCCTCTGGATTCTGAGAGTCTGGACCCCTGGGGTCCAGGGAGGAGGGAGGGGGTGTGTCGGATGCTCACACGGTAGTGACACGGGCTTGGGCGGGGCCTCCTGGGGTCACATGGAGTCTAGGGATGAGGAATGTGCCCCAGGAATAGAGCCCCTTCCTGCCCCTTACATAGTGTGGGGGTGGGGAGAAGAGATTCCTGTGAGCAAGGGGGTTAGACTACAGAGAAGTCTCACCTGCCCAACCCTCCACCTACCTCTGTCTGAACTTCGTCCCCCTTCTGTGTCTCTATCCCTTCCCTGGTCTGTGTCCTTTCCTTGTCTGGGTCTCTATCCTCCACTCTTTCTGAGTGAGTATCGGTACCCGTCTCTCTCTCTGGCGCCCCTTTCTGTGCTTTCTCTCTGGGTCTCTTTCCCTCTCTTGAGTCTCTGTCTCTTCTTTTGGGGTCCTTGCCTTCCCACTCTTATCTCTGCCTCTCCCCCGCTTGTCCGTCTTGCTCTGGATTTCCGCCGTGTGGGTTTCTATCTCCCCTTTCTTCCTGTCTCTCTGTCTCGGGGGTCTCTTCTCCATCTCTTCCTTCCCACCCCGCAGGTCTCCTGAAGGAAAAGGAGCGCAAGGCGGCTCCGGCAACAGCCACGGTCCCCGGGCCAGGCTTGGAGACGGCGGGCCCGGCGGATGCCCCAGCCGGGGCGGCGGTGGGCGGCGGGTCCCCGCGGGGGCGCCCGGGGGCCCCGCCAGGCCCGGGTCTGTTGGCGCCGCTGCTGTGGGAGCGGACGCTGCCGTTCGGCGACGTGGAGTACGTGGACCTGGACGCGTTCTTGCTGGAGCACGGGCTCCCGCCCAGCCCGCCGCCGCCCGGCGGCCCATCACCGGCGCCCTCGCCCGTGCGCACGCCCGCACCCTCCCCGGGGCCCGGTTCCTGCGGCTCAGCTTCCCCTCGTTCCTCCCCGGGGCACGCCCCCACCCGGGCTGCCCTCGGGGCCGCGGGCGGCCACCGCGCAGGTGCGACGGCGGGGGCGGGGCAGGGCCCTGGTGGGGCGGGGCTTGGGCTTTAGGGGCGGGGCTGTACAGCACTTGGGGCCGGGAGCGTGGGGCTGGGGTTGTGCGCCCAATTTCTGGGGCCTCTAGGCGCGAGAGATGCTGGGAGAGGAGTCTGGATTCTCTGCCTCCTAATGCGTCAGGGACTGGGTCTCCTGAATCCATTGGAGATGGGGGCCTTGGGATCCCAAATTACAGGAAGTCTGCCCAGTGGGGCGGTAGTGTGGACTTTTCTGTGGAACGTGGGGACAGAGGGTGGGGACACTCGATTACTGGGGAGTGAACTGCACTCCAGAATCTGGGCCTGTAATCGGTGGACTGGGGAAGAACTGTAACCCCTAGGCCCTCTACAGGGAAGAAAGCAAGGTCTGGGCACATACTTATTTCACTGGGATCTAAGAGACTGGCAGCCCTAGTTGCTGGGTCCTCCAGCGGAGAAGAGCTAGGACCCGGGGTCCCGGAGTCCTCTAGAAGGAACCTGGAAGGTTGGGGATCTTCAAGCTGGGTCTTCCGTTGGGGCGACGACCGCGAGCCTCCTATGTTCCTGGGAGAGGAGGGGCCTGGGATCCCAGAATCATGTGTATCCCAGTGGCGAGGGAGAAGGTCAAGGGGACCGTTTCTCAGCGTGTTCCCCAGAGAGCAGGAGGGCCTGTATCTTTGGAGGTTGAGAGGTTTGAGCTGAGACCCCAGGGAGCAGAAGGAAAAGTGTGCTCCCTCGGGCACTTGGGGGTCTCCACGGGCGGACTGCAGGTTGGGGAATTCCTGGACACACCAGCCCCTGGCGCGGCCTTAGGCCAGAAGCAGGGCCCTTCTCTTCCCCGCCGCACATTCCCGCGCCACGTGAGTCCTCCCCTCCCTCCTCCTTGCTTCTCGCTTCGCGCACGCGCGGTCACGCGGGGGGGGGCGGGGCCTGGAGAACTAGAGGGCGCCGGTGGCGGCAGGGGGGGCGGGGCGGGAAAGCAGGCACCCGCACGTGACAGGCCCTGAACCGGTGTCCTCAGCTGGCCCCGGCTTGCTCGCTCTTAAAGGCACAGGCCATCCCTGTCCCTTCTCTTGAACCAACTTCCCCCAAGCCTCAGTCGTTTCTGCTTTTCTTCCCCAACTCTTCAGGTCCAGGAGCTCTTACACGGCTCACCTGAAATCTTTTCAGTGCACTGGATTTCTTTTTCCTGAACAGCCTGGGGTGGGGTCTAGGCTTTGGTCATGGATTCAGTAAGCAGGATTCAGGCTAGATAATGAGAAAGAAGTAACACTGCCAATCTGAAGGCCTGAGGTTTAGACCAGGCTCGTGTGTTATTTAGGGTAGGTCAGTTATAATTGGGCCCGTTTCCCTATTTGTAAAAATGGAATTGGTTCCTTGATTTCTAAGCACCTTTGTAGCTTAGAGAAGCTTCGTATTTTATATTAGAGAGGTTGATCTCTGGTGGGCTTTGTGGTAGGCTTCATAAGGGCCTTTCTTGTGGTAGAAAAGAGCAGGGGGTAGCCTCTGTGAAACACCCCCTCCCTCAATAAATCCACATTCAGGTGGCACATTCTATTTCCCCAAGGCCTGACCTCTCGGGACACACCCAGCCCCGTGGACCCAGACACCGTGGAGGTGCTGATGACATTTGAACCAGACCCCGCCGATTTAGCCCTGTCAAGCATTCCTGGCCATGAGACCTTTGACCCTCGGAGACATCGCTTCTCAGAGGAGGAACTTAAGCCCCAGCCCATCATGAAGAAGGCCCGGAAGATCCAGGTGCCAGAGGAGCAGAAGGTAAGCACTGCCAGATGTAGGATCAAGGCGTGGCCTTTATAGGTCCCTTAGCCAGGGATGGCCCTTTCCTCACAGACAAGCCTGGGCTTCTCACTTTGGTTAGCTCTCAGGTTCTCTTAACCTACAGCCAAGAATGAGATGTCCATAGCCATGGGCTTGAGGGGGCCGAGGTTTGGGCTTGAGATTTACAAAGATGGTATCACTGGGGGATGCAGACTCAGCCAGCCCTGCTTGGACCCACCAGTATAGGCTTGGAGCTTTGACCAGGCCCTGTTGCCAAGGACAGCATCCCTTAGCAGCATGGTATCGGTCTGTTTCTTTTGAGCCACTTGTCAGGCTGGGACTGATCTTTTGATCTCTGATTTGGGCCATCTTTCCTGGTGCTTGCATCTATGTAGGATGTAGACTTTGCCAGCCCCTCCGGGCCTTGTTTCTCATTGGTGAGAGGCCTCAAGTTCTCTCTAGCAGCCAGAGCCACACTCTGATTTGGAGCTGTGACCACATCTTTCTGGCATCCTGCCTTTGCCAGCTCTGGGGTCTCCCCTAGTAAGGGGTGCCAGGGGTTCTCTCACCAGACTTCACCATGCCCTTGTGTAAGACACAGCTACCCGAAGCACTGAGGACTGGCTTGTCAACCCAGTCTAGACCAGTGGTTTCTTCTGTCACAGGGCCGGGACTCGATTTACCTTAGTAAGCAAGAACTAGGCTTTTGTGAAATGGGGGTGGGAGGAGAGCATCTGTTGGAGCTCTGGGTGGTCCTTGTTACAAAGGAGTGGTCCTCCTCCACAGCCAAATTCTACGACTGGGGAACCTAAGGGTAATGGTCTAGGGAGGTCTCAGGATAGGCCCTTTTGCTAAGGGACAGCTCTTCTAGCAACCCAGGCTGTTGGGGAGAAGGCAGCTGTTTGGCCTCTATTCAAGGCCAGAGGGTCAGAGACTGGCTGCAGTTATTGGGACCACTTAGACCTTACTTTTGTTTGCTGAAGAAGGATGGAGTTACCTTGACAACCAGGTCAAAGGGCCCCAGCCCTGGATTTGTGGGACCCAAAACCCCATTGCTAGGGATCCTAAGCTTTCCTTAGCAACCAGGATCTGAGAAGGTGGTGCAAAGAGTGATGCTTTTTTTTTCTGGGAAAAGCCCTCAGACCCTGCTTGCCCTGTTGCTAGGGAACAAGCATCCTTAGCAACCAGGAGCTAACTGTAGGTCCTTGTCAAGCCAGGAGTGGTGGGGTTTGTTTGCACAGTGGAGACTTGAAGCCCAGTTGCTTGAAGTGGGGAGAACTATCTCTCACCTTAGTTGTTGCCAGGGGCCTGCTCTCCTTGGCAACCAGACCCTTGGGTACCCATCCTAGGAAAGACCTGGTATCTTTTGGTACCCAGTGCTGGGCAAGAAGCACACCCATGGGGGGGTCTCTTCGATGCTGCCTGGTCCTTGAAGGCACAAGGAAAGCTGCTTCTCCTGGCCCCTCTGGTCCTTAGTGCTTTCTCAAACCCTACCCTCAGGACGAGAAGTATTGGAGCCGAAGGTACAAGAATAACGAGGCAGCCAAGAGGTCCCGAGATGCCCGGCGGCTCAAGGAGAACCAGATCTCGGTACGGGCGGCCTTCCTGGAGAAGGAGAACGCCCTGCTGAGGCAGGAAGTGGTGGCTGTGCGCCAAGAGCTGTCCCACTACCGCGCCGTGCTGTCCCGCTACCAGGCCCAGCACGGATCCCTGTGAGGCCGTCCCCCATCCCTGCCAGGCAGCCTCGCTCAGACTTGTGCCCTGACGCCCTCTTCCTTCCCCACCCTGTGGCCCACAGGCCGGCCAGCTGAGTGCCCCAGGAACGTGATGATGCAGATAAATACATTTATATTTTTAAGAAAAAGCGAGCCTCCCCCCTCCCTCGCGGGGGCGGGGAGGGTCCTGTGTGTGTGCCCCTGCCACTTCGGGGACCCCATCCTCCCACCGCCTCCGTTAACGCGTCCTGAATAAATCTTGAGAACCCCAGAGCCAGCTGTTGTGGGGGAGGAGGCAGCTCCCTGGCCCCAGTTCAAGGCCATTGGGTCACGCTGGCCGCGGTCTGTGGGCAGGTCTGGGCTTTGGTCCATAAAAGGCAGGAGCCACTGGAAGCGGCCAGAATTGGATCCCCTCCCACGGGCTGCCAGATGCAGAAGGGGCGACGGTCTGAGAGGAATGAAGCGACTGCCTTTATTGCATAGACCTTTTCAATTGCTTTGAAGATTGGGGTCAGGGGACGCACAAGAGACAGAAGACAAGAGAAACGAGTTTCCCCGCCCCCACTGGTGCGGGGGGAGGTGGAGGGACATTAGTGCAAATCCGAGCGTCGGCCCCGGGGAACCTGCCCCTCCTGGGCTGATTGGCCAGTTAAGTGGAGGCACCGGAGTGGATAGGGCGAGTCCCGGGTCCTGACTGGCCAATTAACTAAGGCTTCCCCAGCCCGTACATGCCAGGGCCGGTCATCGGACAGCGCGTAAGGCAGCCTCCGCCCTCAGCGGACCTGGCCTCCCACGAGCCAGAAGCGAGGGTCTAGACCGAGTCCCGCCCTCATTGGTCAGGCACTACCCTCGGGGCCAGCCCATTTGTCGGTGATCGGGATGACCCCGATCTCCAGGAATTCGGGCCACACTCCAACCAACATTATCTATGGTCCCTTGGGAGCGGGCACAATCCTGAGACGGGTCCCTGCGTGTGGGGCCTTCGTCCTGACTCCTAACAACTAGGCCTCCGCCCCTAGGTCAGGCTCCGCCTCCTTGGAATGTAGGCCCCGCCCCTGGCGGGCTGCAAGCTTTGAGAGGTTCAAGGCTCCCGACCTGGGCAGCCTGGAGGCCCGGTGAGCAGTGTACCCAGGCCTGGATGCATCTGCGCCTGCAGTGGCCCATACTCCACCTGCTCTCCGTCCACAGTGAGCACGCCCCGAGGCGTGAGAGGCTCGAGGCGGAAGGCACGGGCTGCGGCATAGCCCAGCTGCGGACAGCCCAGGTTGAAGTGGCTCCCTCGCTCCATGGCCAGAAAAAGGCGCAGCAGTGCAGCCCGCGAGATGCCACCCCGCACCCAGCACAGGTGCACCAGGCCGTCGTCAAAGCGCGCGTGGGGAGCTGCCACCAGGTCAGCCCCCAGGTGGCTGGGTGAGATGGCCAACATAAGCACAAAGTCCCCCTCCAGCGTCACCCAGCCTGGGGGGAGTGGGGTGCCCAGAGGAGGGAGCAGGTGGTCAGGTGGGCCCCCAGTAGAGATCGCTTCTGGGGCATCAGGGGTGGGAGGTGGGAGCCCAGAGGAGGCTGGCATTTCTGGAACCCCCTCGGTGATGGGGGACAATAAAGCTGCCTTAGGGGAGCTAGGTGGTGAGGGCAGCAGTGGGTCTGGGGACAGTGGGGCATCCCCAGCCCCACCCCAGTCCCCGGCCAACTCTGGGCCCCCACCGTTGAGAGACAGGATGGGCAGGGGCTCAGGTGAGCCAGGGGAGGTCAGGGCAGGCTGGGGCATGGGCAGTGGCAGGGGCAGGTCAGATACCGAGCGATGCAGGGGTGAGTGTGCTACGGGTGGGGCTGGGGCCGGGGCTGGGGCCAGAGTCAGCTCTGACTTGGCACGGGGCAGGCCGTGAGCAGGGGTGGGTGAGGCAGGTTCCACAGTGGCAGGGAGGTAGGAGAGGCGTCCACGGTATGTGTGCAGGTTGGCAAGGCCCAGCACCGTGCCCAGTGTGAAGCGGGCACTGCCCAGGGCCCTGAAGCGCTCGCTCTGGATGTCCACATCTGACACGAAGCCCCAGGCCACGGACAGGAAGGAGAAACAGCGGGAACCCGAGGCCAGTGTCACAGAGAGCAGGTCCAGTGGGCGGCTGCCACCCCGGCAGAGGAGCAGTGAGCAGTTGAGCAGCAGGTCGACACCCAGGGCAGGTTCAAACCTTCATAGCCAGAGACGGATGGACACAGTGGGAAAGAGTAAATGGGGTCACGTGAGAGACACAGTGCAAGGTGGCAGAAGACACGGAAAGGTGGGGCTGCAGACAGCAGGGGACCAGGCTGCCCACGGCCTGGGGCCCACCCACAGCAATTTGGCCACCTCCGAATGGACCCTTCTTACCAAGCCAGGTTCCCTGTCAGTTCTTTCATCTATAAGCATTTTGCCACCTGTGTGCCAGGCACAGTTCTAGGTACTAGGGATATAGCTGGAAACGGATAGGCAAAACGGGGGGGGGGGGGGTGTGGGGAGCATCCCAGTTAAGACAGATCCACTTGGACTGGGATGTGGGACTGCGGACTGCCTGGGGGACATGTGGGGACAGAAGTGCCACGTAGCAGGAGGGCTCACCCTTCCCCTTACAGTACCAGGCTCCCCGAGAAGGGACCCCCACCTACCCCCCATGCTGGTTCACAGCTCCAGCCAGGGCATTGCCTGAGCCACAGGGGAGAATGCCCACAGGTGTCTTCACAGCTTCTTTCCAGTCAGGGCGGCCTAGGAGCCCGTTCAGCACCTGCAGGGCGGGACACCAGCCACCTGGGTCCTGGTCCCAGTGCCAGCCTCCTGAGTCCCCCAGGATAGGCAGGTTGCCCCTGCCCTACCTCAAACAGCAGCCCGTCTCCTGAGACTGTCACGATGCCGTCCCACTCACTCAGGTTCAGTCCCTGAACCAGCTCCCGGGCATGGTTCTGCCGTTCTAATGTGGGGAAACAGCAGGTGAGCCAGGCTGTTCCCCTCTGCCCCACCACCATTACCCAAGACTCAGAACTCAGGAGTCCTAGCCCCTCACTGCCCCACCCCCCTAGCCCCTCCTTCCATCTTGACCTGGAACTTACCTGTCTGGATGAGGTTGAAGGACAGTCCGGCTTCAGAGATCATGGGCAGCACGTGGTTCTTACACCACTGCCAGGCCAGACCCCGCCCCCCGAAGGGATTGACCAGTAGGAGCAATCGGGGTGGCCTTGGCAGAAGCTCAGGGGTTATTTCTGCAAAGAGAGGGCAAGGAGTATAGAGGGCACCGACCCAGGCTCCTCACCTCAGAGCAGCAACTGCAAACAGCCCCTAATGGAGCTGGTGAGGGGCTGGCATTGGGGCCTGCTGGGAATTCACAGGGTTTTTTTTCCTCCCAGCCTTCAGGTGTTGGGGCTCAGGTGTGCAGCCCCACCCCTCCCTCCCAGGGGCCAGAGACCAAGGCAGGGCTTGGGTGTCTAATCCCAATGCCCTTTGGACCCCCGTGTGGGAGGAGGAAGGAGAGCTGTGGTTTCCACTTTATTCTCAAACACCTGGAATTCAGAATCAGGTTACTCCACTGTGCAAGGCTCCCTCATTATCACCATCCCTTAGGGCCCCCAGCCAGCCAGCAGGATCCTGGAAGACCAAGGGAGGCTCACCAGATGGGGACCCTTGAACCTTTACCTTCCTGTGACAACTGAGGAGCCTGAGTGGGGGAGCCTCTGCCCCCAAAGCCTTCTCTGCCCACCGCCCCCACCCGCCCACCTGCCCCCCGCCCCTGGCCAAAAAGCTGGATTAGGTGCTACCTCTGGGATCCTGGGATGCCCTAGGGGACCTCTGAGTGCCTGTCACTCTGGGTGGTGACTAATCATGTCTGTCTGCTGCTCTCACCAGACAGGGAGCCTCTGACTCATCTGTGGTCAGGGCCCATGGAAGGGGGGAGGGGACACAGACAAAAATCTATGAGAGCAGCACACACAAATCATTTTTCTCTGCCTGTGGTTTTTCTTCCTTCTGTAGCCCGTCCCTGTGTGTATATCACTCTTTCAGTACAGACCAAGAGAGACACATCACAGACAAACACACAGTAGAGACAGAGATGTCCACAGAGGAAAATCCACAGAGACACCAAGGTGGCCCTAGGACAGAGTGGCTGCATAGTGCCTCACCCCCATCCCCAGGCAGTGGCACTCCACGGAGCAGACACATGAGGGCAGTGGCCCAGCGCTGGGCCTCAGCGCGGTTCTCCTCGTAGGTGGCTGCCCCGTCGGCCCGAAAGGTGCGAGGGGCTCTGCGCCGGCCCCCAAGCCGGCCACCGCGCCGGCCCTGCGGGTAGGTGTAGATGCAGAAGTAGGCTGCTGAGTCTGAGAGGCTGCGGCTCCGAAGGGTGCAGCAGCCAGACACCTCGGCCAACAGGACCAAGCCGCCCCGGGGCCGGGCTTCAGGCTTCGGACGCAGCCGCTGTATGTGCAGGGCCTGTGGTGTGAGAGTGAGGGCGAAGCGGGAGCCGCGGGCTGGGTAGGAGCCAAACTCGCCATGCAGGAGCGGGGTGCTGGCGGCCAATGGTGGTGGCGGTGGGGGGGCCATGGCCTCGGCCCTGTCCAGGGCGCTTCTAGGCCTGTGGCCCCAGCTCCAGGTCAGCTCCTGGTCTGGCCTCTGTGGGGAGGGAGGAGGGCAGGAGTCAGAGTCCAGGACCCCTGCGGCAGGTAGAGAAAAGCAGGGGCAGGGCCAGTGGACAGGAGATAACCAGGGGTGGTGACAGGCGAGATGGGAGTGTCAGAGACAGAAGGCTCAGACGAGTGTGGGGAGATCCTGGGGACACAGGGTATAAGTCTTTTGTATAGGAAGGCCAGCATCCTGGAGGGTGGACAGCCAGGCATGCAAACGTTCATTCATTTATTCCCCCAAATAATCACTCAGGACCTTCTACGTGCCAATCACAGTACCAGGCCCAGCAAAGACAGCAGAGAACAAAAAAGACAAAAAAAAATCCCTGCCTTTGTAGAGTTTGTATTCTCATGGGAGGACAGAAAAACAAGAGAAATTAGTAAAATATACAGTGTGTTGGATAATTAGGGCTTCAGAGGAGAATGAGGCAGAGGAGAGAGATCTGGATGGTGGAAATATGGAAAGACCAAGAACACAACACACACACATACACACACACACGTGGGAGGTCATCTCCAGATGGAGAAAGTGACACCAGAGAGACACCCAGACACAAAGAAAGAGAAGGATGGAGTCTAAGAGCCAGAAAAACTCCAACAGGAGACAACAGCTTTGATGAGATGAAACCCAGGATGATGAGAGATACTCAGGAGAGTCAGAGTTTAGGGGCGCCAGAAGGTCCTCTGAGGGTCAGGAAGACAAAGGACTGAACAGAGAGGAGGGGCAGGAGGGAGGAGGTGTAGACAGCTGGAGAGACCAAGAAAGGGATAGGATGAAAGGAACTAAGGAGTCACAGAGCTAAAGGAGCCGCATGCAGGCGCCTGCGAGGGACAGGGGCCGACACTGGACCCGGAGCACTGACCTGGGCGTCTGGCCGCCTGCTCTCCAGGGAGGGGATGGGAGCCGGGCCTGAGGTCCCCTCCCCAGAGGCCATCCCCCTGCCCTCTGCCCAGCTTCTGCCTCCTCCCTGCTCACCTTTGTTCCCCACCGCCCCGCCCACCCAGCTGCCTGCCAGTCCTGCCCCTCACCTTCCCCGGCCTAGAGCTGCCCCAGACGCACCTCCATCTGTAGACTCACCCTCAGGAGTCACCTCTGCCCCCTGCCCTGGGCAGCTCCCTCGGGGCCCCGCCCCTAAACTTGCACAGAGCAGCGCCCCCATCCCTGAGCTGGAATCAGGCTTAGATAGAGTCCTAGATCTCCTCCAGTCCTGGGCCTGAGGTTCTGTCCCCTAGGTCCGCAAGTCTCTGGCCTGGTCCCCCAGAACTGGGCCTGGTTCGCCATTCAAAGATCCCCCTGCCCACCGCTCCCAGTCCATAGGCCTGAGTCTCTGTCTCCGGTTCCTCCAGTCCCGGTCCTCCATCCCCATCCCATTTCCAGAACCCAGTCCCAGACCTGGGTTTCCACTCCTGGATCCCTCAGTCCCGGTTCTGGTTCTCCATCTCCATCCCACACCCCTGGTACCCCAGTCCCGGCCTGCGTCTCCGTTCCTCTTGGTCCCGCGGTCCCCCAGACTCGGGTCCCTGACCCTACCCCCGCACCCTCCTCACACGCCAAGTCCTCCTCCAGGCGGCCCCTCAAGTCAGCACCAACCGCCCCCATCAGACCCGGGGGGGGGAGGGTGTGAGTCCGCTCAGCCAATGGCTGCGCGGCCGGCCTGAGCCGCGCCAGTGAGGGCGCGCGGGGGGCGGGGCCAGCAGCTCGCGAGCGTGGCGCAGGGCCCAGCCGAGGGAGAGCTCGAGAACTGGGCGGGGCATCGCTCTTCGCGAGATCAGCTGCCATAGTAAGTGAGGGCACACGCGCAGCAGAGGCGGCGTCACGACCCCACAAGCCAGCGCCGCTGACGCCATCTTTGTGGAGGGCAGGCGGTAGGTGGGCCCGATCCATTGAGTTTTTTTTTTTTTTTTTCCCATTGAGTTTTTGAAAGAGAAGAAGCAGGAGGGAGGAGATCATCACCTGCAGATACTGATCCTAACACAGGTAACCAAGGCCCAGAGGTATGCAAAGGGAGTTAGTAAAAGAGACCCAGAAAAGCAGAATCAGAAGCAGTAAGAGACTTAGAGCGCTGCCTGTTTTTTGGATAGTTACAGAAAGCCCTGAGAAAAACAGAGATACGTATGCAAAGACACAAAGACAATAGAATTGAGAATATGCAAGGTTAAGGATTCAAGAAAACCCAGAAAATGATGGACACAGACACAGGGACAGATATTTCTGACAGGAAAACTGGGGAGGAGAGGCTCATTAATTCACCAACTATTTACCTTGGACTCAACCCAGAGTGGAGGCAGCATGACATGGACATCTGCCCAGTGAATGACCCAGTAACATGGCAAAACAGAAACAAGGAGCAAGATGGGGAGAAATGGTATCTGAGAGGGACTTCAAGGCAGGGGTAGGGGAGGAAGACAATGCTGGAGGAGCAGAGGCTAAGAGGAAGTGAGCCCAAGAGAATGCAAAAATGTGGGCAGAGAGAGACAGAGAGAGGCAAAGACACGGTAAAGTGCAAAGAAAGCAAGGCAAGAATAATATCTGGATAGTAAGAAGCAGAACCGTAGAGAGATACATTCAGGAGGAGACAGGGACAGTATTTGCTAGAAAGGGATGACTGGTGGAAGTTCTTTGATCGTCAAACAATGTACCTTGTGTTTGACCCCGAGTAGCAACAGCACCGAATAATATATGCCAAAGAAAGACCCAGAGCAGGGGGTGGGGGTGGGAGTGGGGACAGAAACCCAGGAAGACGGGAGAAAACAGGGAAATGCACACCTTACATTTGGGAGAAAGAAAGGCGGGCAAAGAGGCTGAGATTCAGAGACAGACCAAGTCACCAAGGCAAGGGAAGGGAAGGGAGGAGGAGGAAACTGTGTCCCATGGTGCAGTGATCTTAGCTTTCGATGGACCCTTACCTGATTCCGCTGCTCCTCTGCTTCAAGGCGTCCATTCATCTGCTGGCCCTCTGCTGTGCTCCGGCATGAGCAGGACAGTGGTCCTGGGCGGGAGGCCGTGGGAGGGCCGTATGGGCAAGGAGTCAGGCCTCACAGTCGGGCCCAGCCTTTGGCTCTGTGGAGGACAGGTGAGTAAGTAGCAGCATCAGGGGAAGGCTGCAGGCCCGGCTGGATGTGCTGGAGGCCAAAGGGGCAGGGCTTCTCTGAGGAAGGAGAAAAGAGGGGACAGGTCAGCTTCGTCACTGCCCTGGCCAGTCCATCTGGTCCTACCCAAGAAGGGCTAAAACAACAGGAGTGGAGGCTACCTTGTTTTGAGCACTTCATGTGCAAAGCATTGTTCAAAGCACCCTTACTAACTTATGTAATGCTGGAAAACAAGTGTCAAGCCTGTTATCCCCTTTTGGCAGATAAGGAAAGTAAGGCACACGGAGATTAAATGACTTGCCCAAGGTCACGCTCTTGTTAGTAATTAGCATGGCCGGGTTTGGGATCCGGATACAGCTGACAAGACCCCCATCTCACCATCTTTCTATGTCAGTGCTTATCACCCGAATCTCCAGGTTCCTTCTCTTTCTAGGTCTCCCTGTCATGCCCTGGGTCTCCATCTCCGGCGGGGGTTGGGGGGGCATCCCTCGCGTCTCTGTCCACTCCCGCTCTGGGCCTCCAGTCCTCCTTCCCTCTGAATCTTTATCCCCCAAGTCTTCCCTTCTCTTTCAGGAGCCTTTTACCCATTCCCTCTCCACCCCCATACCCCAAGGCTGGGGCTTCGGTGTGCCTCCTCCACATTCCAGTACCGTGTAAAGCCCTCACACGGAGCCCGCGGGGCCACTCGAATCTCCGGCAGGGAAAAGCGGCCCCCAAGGGGTAGAGGCTGAGGCGGGGCTCAGAGAATGGGCAGGGGGAGGAGAGGAATATAAAAATTGGAAACACAGGATGCTATAGACTGGGCTGCAGCAAGAAGATCTCGGGTTAGATCTCAAGTAGGACTTCCCGAGCTGCGGCGGCGCCTGGGAAGCACCGCACGAGATAAGAGAGGTGAGCCCGATAAGGAAACGCCTGAAGCGTGGGGTTAGTGGTTTCCCGAGGTCCTGACAGGCCCCGCCAGCTCCGCCTCCTCACCTCCAATACTCGGCCCGCCGGGTCCTCCAAGGAGCCACAGAGAGGCCGTCGGCGTCGGGCCAGAGAGTCACCGTGCGACGCGACCTCCTAGCGCCGCACATCTCTCTCGCTGCCAATTCCCTTTCTTCCGGAAGACTATCGAGAACTAGGAAGAGCCAGAGAGGCCCCCGACGTGGTCGCCGCCCCTCCACCTTTGACGCAGCGCTTGTTCTCCGTGGGTGGTGGTTCCTCCACTTACTCCGGAATCGCCCATTCGGACGCTCTGCGATTCGCCATAGAGAGGTCCGACCCGAGTAGAGCGCCGCGTCGCGCCCGCGTGACGCCATACAAGCGCCCCTCGCTGAAGGCTTTCCCCGCCCCCTCCGGCACTGTTCTCTCTTTCCGGACCTGACTGAGCAGGAGGCGCCATCATGGTGAGCGTGCTTTGAGGCGCTCTGGGCTCGATTATCCGCCGCCATCCGCCGCGGTTTTGGGCTCGGGGCGTGCTGGAGGGGAGCAGGGATGTCGGGGGGGTTCGAAGGGGGCGACTCCCGCAGTGAGGGGACTGTTTTGGTGGATTCGAAGACCAAGGGTGGGTCAGTTCTATCAGCCTCTGGCCACTCTCGTCCCCTTTTATTATTCTAGTTCCAGTTGAGCAGATAACCCAATTGAGGTGCAAAGAAGTTAAACGTTGTGACCGGGGCCACGTTGCACATTGCGTTCTTCGCCACACTGCAAAGAAGTGGCAGAGCCGGGATTCGGACCCGGGTGCTAACCTCACGTCCGCGCTTGGTCTCTTATCTTTGCTGCCCCTACCTGGATCTGTCACTCCCCCGACCTGGAACCTTGGGTTCCGGCTTTTGCGGCCAGGCGGACCTCTGAAGTCTCAGCTCCCTGTCCAGCCTTCAGTCTTGGCTTTCCCCGCCTGTAACCCCAGTTTCTTGGTCTGTGCATTGGGAACACAGTAATCATGCGTCACAGACGCGAGTTTGGGAAGAAGCTGTAGGAGCTACACATCGGAGATCTTGCATACTGAAGTGCTGGAGGAAAGGAGCTACGAATAGCCAAGTAGCTCTCTACAGCGCCTGACACGGCCTGTTAAGGAATCTCAGGACAGCAGCCGGAAGTGGTGGAAGTTGTGGCTTCCTTCAGTTTTCTTAGCTGAAGCGGGCAAACTTGTCTCCTCAGGCTGTTGGATTCAAGGAGGTAGTGCATGGAAGATTCTAGTACTGGTTCTGTGTGGAGTAAGTTCCTAACAAAGGTTCTTTGCTGTATTATTAGGTAGAGTCTGCCCTTGGGTCATGTTATTGAAAAATACCACTTTTGGGGGATGCCTGGGTGGCTCAGTTGGTTAATCATCTGCCTTTGGCTCAGGTCGTGATGCTGGGGTCCTTGGATGGAGCCCCAGGTTGAGCCCCATCAGGGCTCCCTCAGTGGGGAGTCTGCTTCTCCCTCTTGTGCTCTCTCTTTCTTTGTCAAGTAACATTTTTTTTTTTTTAAATACAGCTTCTGAAGAATTAAAATTTGTTAGTGGATGTAAGTCCTGTTAAAGCTTTTTAAGGTGCCATGTGCTGAAGGTTTTGTTTGTGGATTTAATACTTTTCTTATGTTGGGGTTGTTGGAGTCCCAGGTCTTCTAAGGGTGGACTTGGGATTTGTTGTCTCTTCAATAAATGAGGCCCTCTCTCATCCTCAGAGAGGAAGAGTTCTGGGGGTGAGCTGCCAGAGAGAGTTGGGCCCACAGTCTATCCTTATCTCTGCAGGGAGTCGACATCCGCCACAACAAGGACCGAAAGGTTCGGCGCAAGGAGCCCAAGAGCCAGGACATCTACCTGAGACTGTTGGTCAAGGTGAGGTTGAGGCCGGAGCCCCTTAGGTGCCACCTAGAACTGCAGCTTCTAGAACCTCCTTTCTAGTATCAGGCTTCTCCAGGGGCCTGCTGGGCAGGCTCCTGTCTGTGGTTCTGCCCAGGGCTCCTGGAGGTTCAGTGTCCTCAGCCTCAGGGCTTATACAGCTGGGGAGTAGGGAGGGGAATTGGGGGGGGGGGCTGGGGGATGGGAAGCCATAAAACCTTGGCAGCCCAAACCGGTTTTTTGTTAAGTTGAAGGTTGGAAGAATGGTGTGGGCTACCTACCCTGGGTTCCTATTCTGACTTTTCTCTGACCTACAGCTGTACAGGTTTCTGGCCAGACGAACCAACTCTACCTTTAACCAGGTTGTGTTGAAGAGGTTGTTCATGAGTCGTACCAACCGGCCACCTCTGTCCCTTTCCCGGATGGTGAGGAGCTGATTCCGTGGGTGACTGGATTGTGTCTTAGAGCCTGGCTTGGGGCAACGTTGGGGGGGGCTCAGAGCCTGGCCATCAGCTGGTTTCCTTCCACCCCTTGGTGTGTGCAGAGCTCCAACCCTTGACCCTGGGGCTTGTAGTTAAATAGCAGTGGGTATTTGAGCAGCTTGGACTCATCTTGTCATCGTGAAGTTGGGGTGGTTGTAGTGGCTTCAGGTGGCCTGCTGTCACATGACACTGGTCTCAGGTGTCATAAGCTCTCCTGAAGGAGAGATCTGTTGAAAGGTCTGCATTTTGTCTCTGGTGTTTTTCCCTCCTTTCCCGGAGGTTCAGCCTATGCTGATTGAAAAGCTTGTGGCATGGGTGGGTTCAACCCCTTCGGGGCCCAGCTATCTCAGGCCTTGGGATGCCTGAAGCAGTGAGGTTGGAGTGAAATGCCAGAAGGAACTTCCTTAATGTGGAATTATCCTTCTCCCAAAGATCCGGAAGATGAAACTGCCTGGCCGGGAAAACAAAACAGCTGTGGTTGTAGGAACCATAACGGATGATGTGCGTGTCCAGGAGGTGCCCAAGCTGAAGGTATGTGGAGGGGACTCGGGAGTGTGGTGGGTGGGCCAGAGCCCAGACTCGCAGTAGAGTCTGCTGACCTGGCTCATCCTTGCTCACTGCTGATGACCTCTGTCGGGGTGCCTTGAGGCTTGTGATGCATTCCTAGTCTCTTCTCTGGGTGAGGCAGGCATCGCACCTCCCTGTCTGGGTGGCTTTTAGGGCTGAAGGGGGATTGTCCTTTGCATTAGTGATGCTGGGTGCCCCCAGGCAGCCCCCAGGCCCTTCTGGGTCCCTCTCTGTTGCCGGTCTGGTTCTTGAATTTACAGGTTGGCTTCAAGTCTAGATTTCTCTGCCCGTCTGTGGCCTGTGGACAAAGTCCTGGGTCTCTTTAATATTTCCATTTCCGGGGCACTTGGGTGGCTCAGTTCGTTAAGTGTCTGCCTTCGGCTCAGGTCATAATCTCAGGGTCCTGGGATCGGGCCCTGTGTCAGGCTCCCTGCTCAGTGGGGAGCCTGCTTCTACCTCTCCCTCTCCCTCTGCCTTTCCCCTTGCTTGTGCTCTCTCGCGCGCTCTCAAATCTTTAAAAAAAAAAAAAAATCTCCATTTTCTTATCTGTAGTAACTTGAAGTTGCTGCAGCCTTAGAGGTGGTCTTGGACATAAATTAGCTATCGTCAGGTCGAGAAGCTCTCTGTAACAGTGGTGTCACCAGTCTCCGCAAGCAGCTGGGTGCCTCTGCTGGACCAGGGCCATGAAGAGGAAGGCCCAGCAGCCCTGGGGTGGCCATGCATGGGGTCTGACCACATCTGTCCTGTGTGTTCCCTAGGTATGTGCACTGCGCGTGAGTAGCCGTGCCCGGAGCCGCATCCTCAAAGCTGGAGGCAAGATCCTCACCTTCGATCAATTGGCCCTGGACTCCCCTAAGGGTTGTGGCACCGTCTTACTCTCTGGTGAGTGTTTAGTGGCTCCTGTGGTGACTTCGGGGAGCTGGGTCCCCGAACCCAGCTTCCCCTGAACCCATCTTCCCCTTCCCAGGTCCACGCAAGGGCCGAGAGGTGTACAGACACTTTGGCAAGGCCCCAGGAACCCCACACAGCCACACCAAGTGAGTATGCCCAGCCTTGCCATCTGTACCCGGTTCTCCCCTGGACCCCACCCTGTGGATCTGGGCCTTGGGCACACTTCCAGCCTCTTCTGTTCCTCACACCAGTCCAGCCTCAGCCCCCTAGAACTCCTCCCCTCATCTTACCTGCTTTTCCTCAAGACGTGGCTTAAAGCTTTTATTCCCTTTTGGTGAGATCTCTGCATAGCCAGCCCTGTAAGTGCAGTGTTCAGAGCCTGAGGCTGCATCTCCCAGGTGGAGCCTATGTCTTACCCCACTTTGGGGCAGTTCGCATCAATACTTGCCAAGTGCAGGTGCTAAGTGCCCTTGCCTGGCTTTTCCAGCAGCCTACTAGGTGTTACCCCCCCTTACCCCCCCCCTTTTTTAAAGATTTTATTTATTCATGAGAGACACAGAGAGAAAGAGAGGCAGACACAGGCAGAGGGGGAGGAGCAGGCTCCGTGCAGGGATTTCCAGGATCAGGCCTGGGCTGAAGGTGGCGCTAAACCACTGAGCCACCCGGGCTGCCCCCCCCCCTTCCCTTTTGATGTCCCGGTGCTGGTCTGTTAGAGCAGGCTGACCCTATCCTTGGCCCTGAGAGGCACACTCTCACCTTCTTCTCCCTCCCCGCAGACCCTACGTGAGATCCAAGGGCCGGAAGTTCGAGCGTGCCAGAGGCCGCAGGGCCAGCCGAGGCTACAAAAACTAACCCCAGATCCTGCCTTGTTATTAAAAAGATTTTGAATGCTGATGGTCCTCTGTGTATTACTGTGGGGGGGGGGGGCGGGAGACGACAAGAGCGGATTGGAGCCTTAGGGTGAGTTGGGGAGTAGGACAGGACGCGGTGCCCCATCTCCTTGGAGACCAGCCTGGGACGGGATCTTCCCCCTGCGGAGGGCGGAGTCAGCTCTACCTGCAGGCGCCCTCTGGCGGTTCCGACTCGTGCCTGTCGATCCTGTGCTATTGGACCCTTACGGGCCCACTAAGGCCAAAGCCCCGCCCCCCTAATGGGCCGGATGACAGGTGTTTTCGCAGCTGCTCAATTCCCCGGATTAGCCACACCTGCTCCTCCGGGCTGGGGACAGTGGGCGGTGTGTGGACCGGGAAGTGCAGGAGGGGGCAGGCCCGCAGTGGGGGAGGGGTACGTGGGAACAGGTGAGTTGTTACCCTCTTCAAAAAGCTGAATCTGGCGGGCCATTGGGCCCTGGGGCAGTAACTCGGTGAGTGTGTGCCCTGGGCTAGCGCCTTCCCCTACCGGCACTCGGCACTCGAGGGCCTTTCCCAGGGATCTGCTGTGGGCCCTCCTCTGTTTACTTAAGGGGCTGGGTTCCCCGGATCCCAGGCTAAAACCTGATGAATGAGGCCAGACGGCGGAAGAACGGCAGAAATAACTGCAGGAGGTCTCCAGACCCCTATTCTGACCTCCGAAAAGGCAAGATAAGGAGGGATGGGGATTTGGACACGTTGGGGGAGCTGGATGGGGTGAGAGGGAGTCCTGGTTTTATTCCTCTTCTCTTCGTAGGCCCTGTCGCTGTGGTGTGCAGGAATGAAGCGTCTGGGTGTGTGATTGGAAGGAAGGGCTGCTGGTTTGCAGGAATCGGGGGTCCAGTGTCCAGAGGTTGGGTCAGAAGCCTTAAAGGGTGGTCCTTGGCCAAGAATAGGTGGACAGTCAGCTAGCAGGAGATAGTTGGATTCAGGCAGGAACCCAGACAGGTCAGCTTGGCCAGGGATCAGCACAGATCAGAGGGCAGCCCAAGACCATTCTGGCTGGGAGATGGGCAGCCAATCCAAGCAACTGGCTGGTCAGGCCCTCCAGTGAGATGGGCTGTTGCCACTTCCATGGTGATGAAAGCTCCTGTTGAGTGTATCCTCCACTGTAGCAGCCCAAGTGGGTGTGAAAGCCCAGGAGCAGAGTCCCCGGTCCACAGAGACTGAGACCTCATTCCCTGGCTGGGGGAGGGTGTTGCCCAGACTTAGGGCTGGAGCCCATTCCCAAACAGAGAGCAGGTCCAAAGGGGAAATGCCTGGGATGGTCAATCAGTGAGAGCCGGTGGGGTGAGCCAGCCACCAGTCGTCAGGAAGAACATTCTGCTGGACCCATCTGGGTGCTCCACCGGGTGGTCAGATAGTGACATTGTTAGTTGGAAGCAATCGATGTTTGCCAAATGATCCAAAAGATGGCTGGAGAGGGCCAGTTAGATGTGCTATAGGTCGGGGACAGATAGGCAGCCCACTTTGCCTTTGGTTAGGGACATTTGGGTGGTAGGAGACAGGCAGACAGCCTGTTGCTGTTGCCTGGAGATGGTCGGGCAGTCAGCCGGACCTTTGACCAGGACAGCCAGGCCCTCAGCCTGACCAAGACTGAACCAGCAAACGGGTCAGTTGGGGTTATTGAGTGGCCAGGAGACTGGAAATTGTCGTGTGGTGGGAGCACAGAGGAGCAGCTCATGGGTCACACAGCTGGGGACGGTGTCAGGTGGTCAGCCTGCCACGGTGGTGGCTGGAGGCAGGTGGGTGGTCAGTCTGAGCAGCCCACACCCTAAGCAGTCTGATTGTCACGACGTGATCCAGGGACACAGGGTGCCACTCACAGAGCTGCCCTGGAAGCCTTGGCACCGCTGCATAGACTCTGCTTGGCAGGAGACCCCCACCCGCACCCCAGATGGTCAGTCCCCCAGAGACGGCCAAACCTTCAGACACCCAGCTGCACGGTCCTCCCACCTAAGCAGCCCAATGGCAGCCTCCCAGCTGGCAGCGCTGGAAGGAGTGGGGTCAGGGCCCGAGGGGCTGCCCTTGACTGAGGCCAGCCCCAGCTTCCTGTATTCCGAGGGCCAGCGCCTGGCTCTTGAGGCTCTGCTGAGCAAGGGCGAAGAGGCGTTCCAGGCCTGCGTGCAGCGCGAGGGGCTGCGGCCCTTCCTGAGTGGGGAAGAGCTCCGGAGCCTGGCGGCGGCCGCTGAAACCTGGACCACATGCAAGCAGCCACCCAGCAGGGCAGCAGAGGGAGCCACTGCCACCGATGGGGACTCCGGCAGCCTGACTTACTGGCCGGGACAGTCAGAGGAGCAGGTGCCCACCCTACGGTTGGGCTGGCCGGAGGACCCGACCTGGAAGGGAATCACCCGGGCACAGCTGTATACCCAGCCACCCGACGAGGGCCACCCGCCCCTCAAGGAGCTGGTGCGCCAGGAAATCCAGGCCGCCTGCAAGGTGGGGGTCTCAGGGGCCCGGTGTCCATTCCCCAGACCCAGACATCCTTGTATGCCAGCTCCCGGACCTGGGAGTGGTGCATCCCCTGAGGCCTGGGGATCTCACCCATGCCCTCCTGGGACACCTCTCAGGAGGGGGGACACAGGTGTCCACATCCCCCAGCCTCATCCTCATCCTCTCTCCAAGGCCTGGGTCCCCCTAGGCATCCATGCCCCTTGGACCGAATCATCTACCCCCCCAGCACCCCACCCTACCACTAGGGTAAGTGTCTCCATCCTTCCTCCCATAGAGGGCCCAGATGTCTCCCCTATGGCCCCCTGGATAGCCTGTTCTTCTTTTTTTTTTTTTTAAGATTTTATTTATTCATGAGAGACACAGAAAGGCAGAGACATAGAGAGAGGGAGAAGCAGGCCCCCAACAGGGAGCCCGACATGGGGCTCCATCCCAAGACCCTGGGATCATGACCTGAGCCAAAGGCAGATAGATGCTCAACCCCTGAGCCCCCCGAGTGCCCTGTCTGTTCTTTATATAACAGCTTTGTGCCTGCCAGCTCCCACGCTAAGTGCTCTACATGACTTAACATTTATAATTGTTAAGAGGGTCCTGTGAGGTTGGTACTTATTATACCAAGTGAGGAGAGTTGGGGAAACTGAGGCACGGGAGGTTAAGTCTCTCAATGGTAAATGGCCAAGTGGGGATTTGAACCAAGGCTGTCTGGCCAGTGGGTCAAGAGTCATCACTGCTTCATTTTTCTGCCTGTAAGACCCAGGCCCTCAGCCCCTGAGTCCCCAGAACTCCCCTGGGTGGCTGAGCAGGTCATCCCCCCTACCCCTGGTATCCACGGCACCCCCAAGTGCCCAGCCGTGCAGTTGCCCACATTGCCCTACCAGGGCATCTGGCCCACTGAGCCCTGGAGCAGGGCCTCCACATAGTGTCACAGCTCACGGGACGCCACTTGCCGGTGCAGACGTCATCATGATGAGTTTTCCAGCAGCAGAGGCCTTGGTCTCCAGGAAGGACAGTCTTTGTCTCTTTCACATGTAGGCGCTGTATTGAGCAGCAGTCTGTGTCTGGGGGTCTCTCCCGCAGCGCCCCCTGGACACCCTGTCAAGGCCGGGCCTTTAAACTCCCACCCTCAGAGTCCCTCACTCCCAGGGCTCCACCCCCTGGATGCCCCCCGGGTCTGCGGGTTCCATCCACAGCCCCTCTCCCCACGCCCCCCAGCTAGTGGCTGTGGTCATGGACATCTTCACTGACCCAGACCTGCTTTTGGACCTGGTAAACGCTGCCACACGCCGCTGGGTGCCTGTCTACCTCCTCCTGGACCGCCAGCAACTGCCTGCCTTCCTGACCCTGGCCCACCAGCTGGGAGTGAACCCCTGGGCCACTGAGGTAGGAGCCTGGCAGGAGGGACCCAAGTCCCTATTCCCCTGACACTGGGGCCAGTGGGGGCAGGCCCTTCCACTGCGTCCTAGCTCATCAAGGTAGATGCCAGCCGAGAGGGTCCTCTGAGATCTGATGCCCCTGGCATTGGGGGAATTAAAGGTGGGTCTTCCCATGGGGTCCCTTTGAGTTAGGGGTGTTTCCAAGAGAGACCAATATTGGTGGCTCTGGGGAAGCTGGGACAGACCTTTCCTAACCAGCCTGGAGGGACACCCAAGCCCTGGGCAATGGGCGGAGGTGCATGGGGTTGGCCTGAGCTACGGTGTCCCCCCTCCACTCCAGAACCTAGATATCCGTGTTGTACGGGGCTGCAGTTTCCAGAGCCGCTGGCGACAGCAGGTAAGCGGCAACGTGCGAGAGAAGTTTGTGCTGCTGGACGGCCACAGGGTCATCTCCGGATCCTACAGGTGCGCCTGCCCCTCACCACACCTCCCAGCGTCTGTCCCCAACCCTCGAGGGGAGCAGTTGGCATCCCCCTTACCAGCATCTCTTTCCTGGTCTGTGAAACGGGTCTAAGCCCTCCCTCTCACTGGTAGAGGAGGTACCATAGGGCCGAACCTCCGCGGGGTGGAGCCAGGCCTGCCTGCAGGGAGGAGAGTCATCTCTTTGACCCTGTGTCTTTGCCCCTCATCTGGGAAACAGAGCCCACAATTTGTGTGTGGGTTTCAGAACCAGGAGGACATGGATTGGAGTCCTAGCTCCGCCTTGAGTTAACTCCACCTCTCTGAGCATCTCTAAAAAAGTAGAAGAGTTGGTATGCAAATGACCCGGTGGCCCACATCCCTCCTCTCCTTTCTCTGGGGTCTGACCAACCTTGACTCTGGGCCGGTGCCTTCCCTGCTCTGCGCCTCACTTTCCCCATCTGGAAAGTGTGAATAATAACAGCACCTGCCTCATAGGGTCACAGTGGGGGAGGGTGTGGGGTGCCTGGATGTTGGGGTCTCTTGGCCTGGCTTTGAACTGTAGCTCTGCTGGCTACTAGCTGTGTGACTTTGGGCAACTGACTTCACCTCTCTGTGCTTCACTTCCCCTTCTACAGGATGGGATGATACAGGTCGTAGGAAGCTGCACCCAATTCTCTGGTCTCCGCCTTGTAGATGTCAGTAGCGACTCCCCTTCCCCTATTATGGCAACCCAAAGTGTCTGCAGACATTGCCACTGTCCCTTGGAGGGGGACAGAGGTGCCCTGTTTTTACCAGTGCTCCCCACTGGTGGTTTTCCATCTCAGGCCTGCCTGCATCAGAATCACATGGAGGACCCGTTAAAAACACAGACTTTGGGAGCCTCTCTGCACCACCCACCCTCTGCCCCCATTCAGCTGGCTGGGGACGGGGTCTGAGAATTGGCATCCCTGGCTAACTCCTGGATGGTCCGGGGACCCCATTTGGAGAATGGCATCTACCTTCCTGGCTTTGCTTAGGGATTCAGCGAGATCACGGTGCCCTGGCATGTAACATAAGCAGTGCTCCGTAAACATCAGCTGTCATTTATTATTGTCATTGTTCGTTTTAACCATATTTCATCGACTCTGAGGTGCCACCAATGAAAAGAAGCATCCTGATCGAAATGTGAAAAGATACGCGTCTTAGAACCAATGAAATACAGTAGGGGTACAGCCAAACCCACCGAGCATGGCTCCCCACCACTGAATCAGGCCTGAGGATGCTTCGCCGAGCACTGGGCTCCGGGTGGACAGCCCTAGAATGGATGAAGCCGGGGCCACAAGAGGTTGTCCAGGGCCTCTGGCCATTTAATGGGGAGAAGGGGTGGAGGCGGGGGGCTTGGGGAGCAGCGGATCCGGGACACCAGTCCCAGGTCCTGCCCTTCAGGTTGGTCACAGCAAACGTGGAAGCAGCAGCAGCAGCACACCCAGCGCCAGGCCGGCGGCCCGCCCCTCCCATCTGGCAGGACTGGGGGCCCTGTTACACATGTGGCCGTAGCAGCACGTGGTGGTAAGCGTGTAGGTGACACCCATGTAAGTGACCGGCTCCTCGTGGCCGCAAGAAGTGGACAGCAGGCAACCTTTGTTGATGATAGGGCCGAGGCCTGGGGCCACCCCATGGCCTGTGAAGCAGTCCTCATCGTCGCCACACTGCATGTGGATGCCGGGACACTGCTTGGAATCGGTCAGCTCACAGAACACACAGTCCTTGGCGCCTGTGGTGCCCGGGGGCAGAGCCATTGCCAGAAGCAGCAGCCAGCCGAGGACCATGGTGGCCTGGCGGCGGTGACGGTGCCCAAGCCAGGCCGTGGGCTTCCTGGGCCTCCCGGAACTGCTGAATGACGCTCCTGAGGCCTATGAGACTTTTGCCCCTGGTCTGGCCTCCCAGGGTCAGCGCTTGGAGGGTCCTCGGGTCCCAACGCTCCACGTCCCTCTTGGGAACTCCGTTGTGACCACTGCTTGAGAGTCCTCGGGTCTCAGAAGCTTCCCCAGGATGGAGACAAACCAGCAGCCACTACCTGATGGGAGTCTATATGGAGCGGAATGGGGTGACCTCACAGACCCCTCAGGGCTCCCACTGGCCCCTCCAGGGGTGAGGTCACAGGTGGGGGGAGGGGTGTCACAATCTGTGGGCAGACGGGCCCACCAACCTGCCAGGGCGTGAGGACACTGCCACCCCGCCAAGGTAAGGACGATCGGACCAACGCTTGCTCTCCTGGTCACTGACTCATCGGTTCTCTGGGCGCTGAGCCTGCAGAGGTGCACAACCAGTGGGGAGCCCGTTTTTCAGATGGGTAAACCAAGGCTCAGGAAGGGAAGGTGCCATGGCCAAGGTCCCCAGAGCCGGGAATAGAATCCAGATTCATTTAATTCCCAAGAGGGCATTTACCGAGCACCCGTTGTGTGCCAAGACTCATGCTGGATGCTTTAAATACCACCACTGTGACGACACTGATGACAAGGACCCTAGGAGCGCTGCGCACCACAGCCAGCCAGGCACCACGCAGGGAGCTCAACCCTTTGTTCGCTCCTTCCAATCTTCCTACTTCTTTGCTCCATATTGCAGATGAGCAAACAGGCAGGCACAGTCAAAGCAGCAGGCCTCGTGGGGGTCAGCAAACTAATCCTACCTCTCAGAGAGGGAAACTGAGGCACTGATAACTCCTTTGCTGGGGATGGGGCAGAGGCCAGCTTCCAGATGGTACTTAAAGTAGCTTAACTCTTGTCACATCAACCCTCTGGGTAGGTGCGTGGGCTGTTCCCATTCTCCGGGGTGGTGGTGGTGCTGGCGGGTGTTAAAGCCAGAGAGGTTGCAGGACTTGCCTAAGGTCACACAGCCTGCCCTGGGACCAAGTGGGGGATCAGTAATAGTGTCCAGGCTGGGGCGCCCCCCCCTCCTGGCTGCACAGAGATCTGACCCCTCCCTGCGTGCCCCCCAGCTTCACATGGAGTGACTCACGCCTGCATCGCGGCCTGGTGACCCTGCTGACCGGTGAGATTGCCGATGCCTTCAGCCGAGAGTTCCGGACACTCTATGCGGCCTCCTGGCCGCTCCCACCCGCACCCACCCTGGGCCCCTTCGTCAGCACCGTGGGGGGGCTGCAGCTGGCTCCCAACCCCCACCGTGTGGTCCGACGCCGCTCTGTGGCCCCCATGTCCCCGCCGCCACCCGACGGCCCTTTGGCCCAACGCTTGGCTGCCTGCCGAGTATTTGAGGGTGACAGGCAGGAGACCCCGGCCACCCCAGGGCCGGCGCTGAGTGACATCCTGAGGAGTGTCCAGCGTGCCCGGACCCCCAGCGGCCCCCCGGCCCGGCCCAGCCGCTCTCTATGGGACCTGAGCCGCCTGTCCCAGCTGTCGGGCTCCAGTGATGGTGACAGCGAGGTGAGACCTGGTGGCCGGCCTGAGCAAAACAATAGCTGGAAGAGGATGGGGCAGCTGAGAGCTGACTATGTGCCAGGCCCCAGACCAGAGCTGGGGTACGGGGGGTGCGGGGAAAGTGCCCACCTGAGTTCACGATCCCAGGGACCCTTTCCTGCAGCCCTACTGTGTGTTGGGCAGAGGCACACTGAGTGGCTTGGGCCAGGGACCCCGAGAGCCCCCGTGGGTGCGAATCCTGGCCTGACCGGTGAGAGCCGGGCAGAGATGTGCCTTCTCTGAACCCTCCGTGTTCTCATCCAGCTAATGGGTGCAGCAATGTCCGCAGTCTCGGTGTGGTGGGAAGGAGGAGTCAGCGAGGGGAGGTTGAAGTAGAATATTAATAAGCACTGCGATAAGTCCCCACAGTGGGATATATTTATATTCATTTCATGAGACCCTCATCCCAGGTCAGTGAGGTAATACTCTGCTCAGGCTCATGGTTACAGATGGAAAAGAGGTTCAGAGAGGTCAAGTGACTTGTCCAAGGTCAAAACAACCATCTCTCTGTGGGCACTGTGCCACCTGCAGGCGCTTTCACAGAGGTGGTGAAAGTGGACCTTTGCCATGACCTTCTGAGGTGGATGTTATTACAGCTCATCCATTTCATCCGCCCGCCCGTTTCAGTTTTGGGAGACTGAGTCATGAGGGAGCAATTGGAACTCAGCCCCAGTGGCCTCCCTGGGGCAGCTATTATTTTTTATTTATTTATTTATCTATCTATTTATTTATTTACTTACTTATTTTTATTTATTTATTTAATTTTTTAAAGATTTATTTATTCATGAGAGAGAGAGAGAGAGAGGCAAATAAATAAATAAATAAATAAATCTTAAAAAAAAGAGAGAGAGAGAGAGAGGCAGAGGGAGAAGCAGGCTCCCCGCGGGGAGCCCGATGTGGGACTTGATCCCAGGACCCCAGGATCACACCTGAGCCAAAGGCAGATGCTCAACCACTGAGCCACCCAGGTGCCCCCCACCCCCACCTCCACGCCCCACCCCACCCCCCTCCCCGGGGCAGCTTTTAAAATGCTCTGCCTCTGGCTTCCTGGATTCAAGTGTTGTCAGCGTGTTGGGGAGGGGTCTCTGCCCCTCCCCTCAGACCCCTCCCCTCAGCTGCTGAGAGCCTGGGGTTCCCACAAAGCCTGCCTTAATCCTCTGGGACCCTGGATGGAGCCTCAGTGCCCTCAGCTGTAAAGTGGGCTGCCGCAAGGGGCGAGAGCAGAGAGCCCTGTGGGACAAGTGGGCAGATTCGCCCTGGATGCCAGCAGACCCGGGGTGCAGCTGCTCTGGGGGTCGTGCCCCTCTCAGGCTCAGTTTCCCATCAGCTAAATGGGAACAGGTCATGGATCTGTTTCCAAGGGTGAGGGAGAAATGTCCCAGGAATCTCTTCCCTTGATTCCAGTCCAGGGGAGAGAGGGTTGGGCAGGGTGGGGGCAAGGTCCTTGCCTCCACCCCTGTCCAGAGCCACCCTCACCCACCATCACCTCCTTTGGCAAATATTTGCTCCCCCCTGGGGCAGCTGTTGGCAGCTTCCTGTTCCTCTCCAACTGCAAAGCTGCAGGGGGAACACAGCAGCTGGCCTCCTGGGGGTCGGGGGCCCCAGGCCTCTCAGTTCACTTCCCTTCCCCATTCTGGAGGCTTCTCACCTTCCCTGACAGTTTCATACCACACCACACACACCACACACACACACACACACACACACCTTTCCAGGGACTCAGGCCCTGGAGCCTTCTCTCACCTTTCTTTCTTACCCTCTGCAGCTCAAGATGTCCTGGGGCTCCAAGGACACCCCGGCCAAGGCCCTGATGAGGCAGCGGGGCACCGGAGGGGCTCCCCGGGGAGAGATAGAACCCCGTCCTGTGGGCCGGTCCCAGCCCTGGGGCGGCCCCCTGCCCCTCCTCCCGGCTCGCCGCCTGCGCTATCTGTCCCCAACCCGAAGGAGGTTTGGTGAAGATGCTGCCTCCAAACTCCTGGAACCCCGAGGAGTCCAGCAGCCAGATCGGGGTGCCCAGGCAGGACTCAGGGGGCCTCGCTGACCGGAGCCGAAACGTCACTGGGCCTGCCTGTTGACTGGCAGCTCCAAGCCCCCTGCCTCCATGCGGTGACTTGGACAAGGCTTCTGGCCTGGGTCTCTGGAAAGTGGAAGGGATTTTTTTTTTCTCTTTGTTCTAGAACTTGGGCAGGCCCAGTGCTCACTCTAGATGCCAGTGTCACAGCTTAGAAAACGGGCAGAAAGTCTCGACTAGCTGGAATCCTAGAAGAGTGCATACCCTACTGGGGCCAGGTCAGAACTCCTCTGAGGACAGGCCTGGCTGAGTGGCCCCAGTGCCGGCATTGTGCGGGGTGAAGGTGGGGCGTCCCTGGGACAAAGTGGGGGAGCTTCCTGCACCCACCATGCTCAGGAGCTGTGGGTAAACAGCTTGGCAGAGAAGCAGACGGAATCCCATCCAGGGACTGGGGCTGAATAACCAGGGACACACCTGCTGGGCAATGGATCAGGGCTATGGGCGCTGGGACTGTTTTGTGGGTGCTAAGGGGTGAGTTGTTGGGGCTCCCTTTACCTCTGCTCAGAATAAAGCTGCTTTATGCCAGAATCTTGCATTTGCACAGCCTAGTAGAGGACCCAGGAACGCAGTCCCCGCCCCCTCCTCCGCGGCCGCAGCACCCCTGGCCTGGGGGGTGGGGGTCAGGTGCCCGGCGCTTGCCTCCCTGCAGTCACCCACCCCACTGGTGTGAGCAGCGGGGAAGAAGACCTCGTCCCCTGTCCCCTCCGGGGCCCTGGGAGCCGGGTCCCCACCCCGGCCGCCGCCTCCCTCGCGCGCCCCCTGCCGGCCGCCCACGCCAAGCCACCTCCAGAGCGCATCCGAGTCGGGGCAGGAGCGAAGCGTTTATTCTCAGCGTCACGGGTGGAGGGGCTCGGATCCAGCCTGGGGGGGGCTGGGGCTGGGATCGGGGTCCGGGCTGGCGTCCTCGGGGACGTCCCAGGGGAAGGTGGGCATCCCCCGCATCTGCTCCCGGTAGACGCGGTCGAAGGCTTCGCTCTGCGCCACCGTGAAGTGGTTCTTCCAGTCACCGCACACCCCTGGGGGGAGGGGGGGAGGGACGGCCAGGTGAGGAAGAGCGGAGCATTCCCCGCCCCCCTTTCCCACCTCCGGGCTTGCCCAGAAGCACCTCCCCACCCCCACCCCCTTCATCTCTGTGTTGCCGCTTCACCGCCAATGGTGGCAGCTTCTGTCCCCAGTCACCTGGCCAGACCCCTGGGCATCATTTTCCCCCCTTCTTCCCTAGGCCCCCCCCTCCCCTACCTGAACCTCCAGTAGATCTGTTGCCTTCCTCTAATTTACCCACTTGGCCCCTTAAATCTGTCCACCCAGAACATCCACCTCCCCATCCTGCATTCCTGCCTCAGTGCCACCTGTGTGACCGTGTCACTATGACCCGTCCCTAACCTCCCTGGCTAGAACAGGGCTTCCTCACCCCAGGGCTCCTGCCACACGCTACACTACCTCCATTATGGCTCTGACAGTGGGAATGAATGCTTTCCCACACCCGGTGCCAGGGAACATGCCAAAGGGCTGCCCTGGATTCATGGGGTCCACTCCTTAACCCTCGCAGCAACCTAGCAGGCAAAGGGCACAATGAACTTTGCCCCCTTCCGTGTGCCCCGGCGGGCGCGGGGATCCCTCTGAGCCTCTCATTTCTCACTTTGTCATGGGGTGAAGTGAGCCCCATGCCCACCTGGGGCACCACCCCTTACCTGGAATCCTGGGGCCAATGGCATTTGGATCATGGTATTTTGAGTCTTGAGTGTACACCCATCATATTATATAACGCCTCTCGTGAGGTCTGGGGGGCTCCCCATGTAGGCTGAATAATCAATCATCCTCACTCCAGAGGGTCACGTCCTAGTTTTTAGAACTTGTGACTATGTGACCTTACATGGCAAAAGGGACTTTTACTCCAATGGCGCTTTGGGGACAAATGGGAGCCACGAACCAGGCAATGCACATGGCACTAGAAACCCAAAAGGCAAGGAATATATTCCACCCCCCAGAGCCTCCGGAAGGAAGAGTCCTTCTGACACTTTGGTTTTAACCCAGTGACACTGATTTGAGACTTCTGACCAGAACTGTAAAAGAATAATAAACGTGGATTGTGTGAAGGTGCTAGATGTGTGGTATTCTGGAAGGAATGGAAGCTAAGGGATCCCTGGGTGGCGCAGCGGTTTGGCGCCTGCCTTTGGCCCAGGGTGCGATCCTGGAGACCTGGGATCGAATCCCACATCGGGCTCCCGGTGCATGGAGCCTGCTTCTCCCTCTGCCTATGTCTCTGCCTCTCTCTCTCTCTCTCTCTCTGTGACTATCATAAATAAATAAATAAAAATTAAAAAAAAAAAGGAATGGAAGCTAACGCACTCCCACCCTCACCCCATAATCTAATACTTGAATATTTCTGGGGTGAAACTTGATGCTAGGAAAGGTTCAAGAAGGGACGCCTGGTTGGTTGGCTCAGCAGTTGAGGGTCTGCCTTTGGCTCAGGTCATGATCCTGGGGTCCTGGGACTGAGTCCCGCATCAGGATCCCCAAGGGGAGCCTTCTCCCTCTGCCTGTGTCTCTGCCTCTTTCTGTGTGTCTCTCATGAATAAATTAAAAAATTAAAAAAAAAAAAAGGTTCGAGGAGACCCCACATAGCCTCCTAGTGCTGGCCATGGCAGTGCATGCGGGCGTTTTGTTCCCCTTTGGAGCTGCCCGGGTGGCAGTGCTAAGCACCTGCTGTGTGCCTAGGACCACAGTGACTCTGTGAAGGCAGTTCTGTTTGGAACAACCACGTGTTTCAGCCAGGGAAACTGAGGCCCAGAGAGGCTACATAAGTCGCCCAAGCCGCACAGCCAGGTGGTGGCCCGAGTGTGGCCTGGAACCCCAGAACCCCCGCACCTTTCCGGAGGAAGGCACCGCGGCGCTGGTCCAGCAGGGTAGGGGGCAGGAGGGTGAAGTTGGACATGGCGTTGGCCTTCATAGCACCGAAAGCTGAGTGCGCCACCACGGAACCCAGGGCCTCCTCACCCAGCGGCCGGCCCAGAAACTCGCACACGCGCTGCACGGAGCCGTGGAGATCCTGCAGGCAGAGGAGGGGGGTCAGGGAGGCCAGGTGGGGGGTGGGGTGGGGGACCGCCGGGGGCAAGGAAGGAGCACCAGCCAGAGCCAGAATCTGGCTGGCTGAGTCCCAACGCAGACCTGTCTGGGAGACTCAGCTTCTTTGCCTCCGTTTCCCCACCTCCAAGCCGTGGGGTTGGGCTATGGCTTCTGCGAGTTTTTGCAGGTTGGAGGTTTGGAAGGTTCCATGGGTGGGAGGGAAAGGGCAGAGGCGGGGCGGAGGTCACAGCATGGGGCAGAGGTCAGTTGGAGTATACACCCCACATATTACATGACGCCCCTCGTGAGGTCTGGGGGGGTGCTCCCCGTGAATCTTCTGCAGAATCACCCTCACTCGGGTTAGAGGTGGGAATCAGCCTGTCTGGGCCGCAGATCTGCACCTTTCCCAGGTCCCCACCCCACCACAGCGGCCTCCTTGACTCAGTCCCAGGCCAGACCCACAGACTAGCCTCCCCCTTCCTTCTCCCCCTGCCCCCAAACCCCCGTCAGTCTCTCTCTGTTCGTCCCCTCCTCTGGGCTCTCAGCCCTAGCACTGGTCAGCTCTTGTCCTTTTCCTATGGACCTTTGCTCCAGCCTCCTCCCTGGCCTCCCTGCCTCCAGGCCCCCACACCCAGAGCTGACCCTACTCCTCTCTGCTCCCAGCCCTCCTGTGGCTCCCTGGTGCCCCAGGGACAGGAGTCCCAGTCCCCCCAGGCCTTGCTTTCAAGGACAGAAGTGGTCTGGCCTCCCTCATCCTATCTTTCCAGAACTTACCATTCCCTACACTTCCCTCCCTGCACCTTGGCGTGGGGCTACCAAGAATGCCCTGTGCCACCCTCCTCCACCTGGTAGACTTCCCCAATCAGATGTACTTCAAATATCAACCCCCTCCTGACAACGATGGTTCAAGTCCCTGGGGATTGAACACCTACTGTGTGCCAAGCTCTGGTCCAAGCCCCTCATGTGTATTTGTGCCAAGCGTGCCAGGTGTCCCACAGAGGGGCGTCATTACCCCAATCCGTAAATGGAAGCTCAGAGAGGGGAAGACACTTGTCCAGGGTCACACAGCGAGGGAGGAGCTCAGATTCGAGTGCCTGAAGCCCTCCCCTCCCCACCCCCCTCTATCTCACTGCCTTCCCTGAAATGCAATCAGCCTTCTGGTCAGTTCCACCAAGCTCACCGCTCCGATTTTCCAGGTCATTCCTGGTTTCATAACCCTCCATCCCTTTATCAACTTGAACCACTGGCGTGTCCCAGAAATTCTAACATGTTGGCAGTTCCTCACACCCAGGGGCAGCCCAGAAACTCTGTCAGGCCGCATGGCCCAGTTTTTGGTTTGGAGAATAAAGCTAGATGAAAAAAAAAAAGTGTGTGTGTGTGTGGGGGGGTTGTGGGGTGGTAATGCCAAAATCTTTTCTGGATCTTCTAACATCAAAAGATTTACCAGGGTGGGGGGAAAAAAAAAGCCCAGCCAGATTGTCAACTCTCTCTAGGTCACAAATCCTGAGGCTCCTCCTCTATAAAATAAGGGTAATAATAGTTTTGGGGTGAACCATATAAAATGTTCCTATTTTGTGGACCAAAACTGGCCAAATGCTGGCGATTTTATGTGGTTCGCTCTAACAGGTAACTCACCTGTCCATACTGGGTGAGGATTAAATGTGATAAGCCATGTGCAGTATTTGGTGCATGGCCTCTGTTACCCTCAGGGGACATTTGCTGCTATTGTTACTACTGATCAGATAAGCACTTGCTCGGAACCTAATAACTTTTAGTTTACACACTATATTAACATGGTGGCATTCCTTGTCAGATGGTAATAATATGCCAGTGTCAGGTATTGTGGCAACCCCGTGAGCCCAGGTTTTCCCACCCATTTTAAGGATGGGATGTTGGGGATCCCTGGGTGGCTCAGCGGTTTAGCGCCTGCCTTTGGCCCAGAGCGCGATCCTGGAGTCCCGGGATTGAGTCCCGCATCGGGGGCTCGCATCATGGAGCCTACTCCTTCCTCTGCCTGTGTCTCTGCCTCTCTCTCTCTCTCTCTGTCTATCATTTAAAAAAAAAGGGGGGGGGGATGTCTGAGGCTCTGAGAGATTTTAGGTTTTTTGTTTTTTTTAAGTAGACTCCACACCCAGAATGGAGCCCAAAGCAGGGTTCGAACTCACAACCCTGAGATCAAGACCTGAGCTGAGATCAAGAGTTGGATGTCCAACTGACTGAGCCACCCAGGTGCCCCAAGTTTTATTGGACACAAAACTTCAGGTGTTTCCCACTCTAGAGTGAGTGGGAGAAAGAATACAAAACATACGTGAAATGCACCTACAAGAAGAAAGCATGTCTGGGGAGCTTAGTGTTGGAGCATCTAATGGGAGCTTGTCGGGTACCCAGCCTCTGGGAACATCTTTGTTAAGAATCTAAAAAGGGGGATCCCTGGGTGGCGCAGCGGTTTGGCGCCTGCCTTTGGCCCGGGCACGATCCTGGAGACCCGGGATCGAATCCCACGTCGGGCTCCCGGTGCATGGAGCCTGCTTCTCCCTCTGCCTGTGTCTCTGCCTCTCTCTCTCTCTC